TTTGTAGTGTGACCTTTTTTTCTTACCTTTTTGTAACGTGGCACATTAGCCCAGGTGTGTTCCTCACTTTCAACTAACTTGTATTGATTGATTATATGCTATGGGGAAACTGTATGCCATTGTTTCGCCATGCGATTATCAGGTCCGTATAAATTACAGAACATACTACAGCATTCTGGGTCCATCAGCCAATCCTCGAATTTCTAAAATATGAAAAACTATCGGCACTTTACAAGAATAATAACAAGGCATAGATGACTGCAGATATATTTGAAGATTAGCTTAGCAACAGAGAACGCGCAACATCATTTGTTTGTTGACATTGCCACTTGCCATCCTAAACCCCAGTTAAATAATCTCAAACCGCGGTTCCTGCCATTTAACAACACTTAGTTCAACTTCTCGAGCAAGGTGTCATTCAGGCACCAGAATTAAAATAGGGAATGAAGCTTCTGCCTCTTATTACGGTCATGGAAACACACGAAGGTATTTCCGGAACTGACGAAACGAGTAAATTTTTTGGGCATCGTGTTTTTGACCACTTCCACTTGGAAAGTGAAGAACCCAACAATCTCTCAGTGTTTTTGTAGAACTGGGTTCCCTTGTTCTGCAGACATTGATTTAGAGGCAGCAAAACAAACTGGACCGAGCAAATTGTACCTCCTGCAACCTCAACTGCATTGACTAATCTTTCAAAAGAATTGTTTGGATGCAGATAGCTGTTCCATGATTGATTCTGATCTCCAAAGTTGTAGCACAACTGAAATAAACTGAGTCATTCCTGCCACTTCAATTTAATCAGCTGAGGATGTGAACAGTGAATCAGAAAAATAGCAGGAGCAAAATTATACGGATGTTCTGACAACGTATACATTCACAGACGCACAATATGCTGTTGTTGATATTTTGTTCTCATACGCAATGAACAGTGAACGCACTGACTTGCTTGAACGTTTGGGTGAGACCAAATTCATTTTTTATTTTAACTGCCAAGCAACAGGCATTTGTCCTGGATTATTTTCATCTGATGGAAAATGATGCGGACAATAGAAATATGTGTGTATGTTTTTTTTCTAAAACTTTGGATTACGCTGGTTATCAAGTTAGTTTTAAAGTGTTTGCTCAAAAACTGTAGCTTTGTTTCATTAGTGTGATGCACAGTCAACCCCAATTGGAGCTTAGGTGGTTCTAGTGGCTGAAAGAGGGGAAGTTCACCGTCGAATGGTTACGTCGCAGGCAGTCTCTCCAGTGCAAGTTGGGGAGGGCAAAGAACGCAGGTCGCGTGGATACAATATATTCGCAGACGACAAGTGACCTAACAAGAGGGAATACGGGATGGTAACCAGGGTTAGGCGGTACTTTGGAGGAATACGACATGACCGATGGGATAATTATAAATGAAGTTAAAGGAAACTGGAGATTACCCTTACTATATTTTTACGCCATACAACTTTATTTAGAATACTAAAGCTGATTGTAAAAGTTGTCTGTGTACAGATCTAGTTGGCATTTGGAAGGCTAGTGCACATGCGCAAGAGATTATTATTAGTGTCCACTATTCATGAACCTGTCCAAGGGGACCACTTTTTGTCCGTTCTTTGATTGGCCGTTTGAATGTATCAAGGATATCTTATAACCACTTTGGTTTCTCGCGAAAGTCCTTGGTCCATCCGGTCCATCAAATTTCTTTAAAATGGTGTACAAAAACATCAGTTCTCTACATAACAAGATATTCGCGTCTGTGCTCCATAGTGAAAACGCAGGCTCACTCTCCATGAACTTTCCTAGCAGAAGATTAGCGGAAAATCTGCAGTATCCTGCTCATCGACAGGGGGCTAAAGGCACTACGTAAGAAGCCAAGAGGTGCGAACGCAGTTACTTGTCCTATCAATGGGCAATCACCATTTACATTATGTAATGCATCTGCGAACACCTTTCTGGATGTTGCGTGGCTTGTTCGAAGTTTTGTCAGACGCCGTTTCTATATTTTTTCTAACGCACATCCATATGCGGTATCCAAGTGTTCTTCTATTAGGACGTCGGTTTGTCCCCTGTTTGACTCATTACCTCCAGGTTCTCTTATCACTTTCATACAACTGACTCTTGTCGCAGTTAAACGTATTCATTGCGGAGTGCTGAATTTTCCATGAATCACTAACCTTTATGTATCCTAACTTAGACCATTCCGAAGCTACGTGTCACTGCTTACTAAAACGTATCCAAGTCACTAGCCCGAGCAGCTCGCAACTGAAATTGAGGCGACAATCTATCCTCCGTGATTTTCGTCTAAACTTATTCATTGAATTATCTTACTATTCTGCTCTCTTCCAGGGGATGTTGCATCCTTTAGCACTGATTTTGTCCACTGCCGACGCTGAGGTACAGCTCCCTTGTGTTGTTATCACTTTTGAATAGTTTCACGAGGTCTCCCTTCGTCCATAGTGGCTAGGGAGTGAAATATCTGAACCACTATATATCTGCTAAGGACGCACTCCCAGGAATTTTATTTGATCAATGATCACTACATGACAACTTTCCACTATCTATACATTTTACTCCGTGAAACCAACACGGATTGCGGAGCATAGGTCCCTCATCACTTTTACTTCGACTTCAACGACAATTGGCATTTCATTTGGTTCGCCTGATGGTGCTTTCTTTTATGGTTTTGCTTCTCTACTACGTTTTAAACACCTTTTTAGCCATCTCTCTTGTATTCTACTTCGTCGATCCCGTGCTGTTCACTTCCCGTACAAAGTCCAAGACTATAATACCTGATTCCTTCGGTTACCGATGTGCCTTCATTACCTTATGTTGGGGGGTCGTCCACTCATCAACATGGTTGAATAACTTATTTGTTGAAATTCCATTATGCTTGACCGGAACCTCTTTCTTTACGTTGATGGTCCACACTTATTTGTTAAACATCCAATGCCGGATACAGTTTTCTGTTTAGCTTTCACACTGTTTGAAATTTTTTATCATGTGCTGTTTATTTCATTAGTACTTTACACAACTTGCTATCTGATGAGCCTTTGCATCATTCCGCATGCGCGTACCCACAACCACGCAGTCTGCAGGATGGTCTGCCTACTGTTTGTTTTCCTTCTCGGCACAAATTCTACCAGGCGCACTTCACTTCAGCTCAGTTAAAGAGTTGCGGTCGTGACACTGCAGTGCGCTGGATCCATTTACTTCGACTCACCTTGTTAGGAAAAAAAACATTAACAATGAAACAACTGAACACTATGAGGGTAGTAAAAGCTTTGCACCCTCGAAGTGCAAAGCGTTCCTCCAAGATTGTTAGGGATCGCCTCTTTCGCTGACCCTTGGTGGGGATCACCTAGAAGTCGTTCAAAAATTCAACTACCTGGGAAGTTGTATCAGCGCCCGTGGGATTGAGGATGAGATCACGAACCGTATAGCAAAAGTTCGAGGCGCTTTTGCTAACCTTCGCCACTAATGGCGCCGGCGCGACATCACTCTTGCCCTGAAGGGTAGAGTGTACAATGCAGCAGTACGTTCGACCTTACTGTGCGGTTGTGAAACCTGGCCGCTTAAAGCAGCGGACCTGAAGAGGCTAGTTACGTTCGACCACCGGTGCTTTCGTAATTTAGCTCACATCTGGTGGGAACACCGCGTGAGCAACGAGCGTGTTCGATGCCTTGTTTACGGCACTGGAAAAGGAAATGAACCGCTCAGCACCGTCATTTCACGCACCAGGCTCCGATGGCTCGGCCACGTGTTACGCATGTCAGCCCACCGACTCCCTCGACGTGCGTTGTTTGCTCGCCGGGGGTGTGGATGGAAGAAGAGGAGGGGTGGCCAAGCGATGACTTGGTCGACAGGAATGAAGGCCCTCACTTCGAAGCTGGCCTCGGTGGGAGCGTCTCTGCTCCCTGGTTGGGGTCCGAAAGAGGATGAACACGTTTGGTTGGACACACTTGCTGATATGGCAAGGAGCCGACCTCAGTGGCGTTCGTGCTGTGAGTTTCTTTGTCCCACCCCATCCCTCTTAGCCTCCCTCTCCCACCAAGATCTCACTATTTAGCCTTATATAATTTTGCATAGTAATTTTTTTGTTGCACAGTAGCCGGCTGGTAGCTTACCGGAACGGTGCCCATCCGTTACTGGTAGCTCAGCCGGCTTGCACCAGTTGCATTATTTTTTCTCCTTTTTTGTGTATTTCGGCACCGTAGCTGAGGTGTTTCCCACCTCTAGCTGACGTGCATGATGATGATGATGACGATGATGATGATGACGGTGATGATGATGACGACGATGGTGATGGATGATAGTATTGATACTAATACTGTGTCAGCTGTGCGCCGTAACGGCGCTTCGCTGCTGCGCAACCACCACCAGTCGCGCGCGGGCTGAGTATACTGCGAGGACGCCCACCCCTATGCGGATTGATGGATGATGATGACGATGATGATGGATGTTGATGATGATGATGATGGGTAGTAAAAGCGTGATGTTACTAAGCGATTTTCACCCGTTGTTATGAAGACACTTGTTTAGTATCCCAATTTGTATTGTACTGAGTACATTGACCAGATACCATTTTCGGTACCGATGGAGGAGAGTTTTCGGATCCACGTGGCTTATTTTGCCTTAAGAAAAAGTTCACGTCGAAACTTCTCCTTGTTGATAAGTCTAACTTTTGCACCCCACGCACATTTGGACGATTCAAGGAACAAACCGAAGTTCTCAAGATCCCCCCAACCATCTGGTCGGTTTCGTTGTGAACGGATCAACTACTCATTTTCTCAACTACTATCTGACTGACATCGTGTTCTTGAACTCGTGCTCCAGATAATCTGGAACACTACTGGGCTGTTTCTTATCCTCCGCTTACTCATCTATATTTGACTATTCATATATGAGAAATAATCAGCAGTTTCTCACTTGCGCTTACTGCGAGCGGTTGAATGTCTCCCTTTGCGTTAATACTCAATACTTGACATACTGTTTTTTCGGTTTACCCGTTTATTCAGGTATATCATGACCTCTGAACATACAAAGGAATGTACTGTACTGTACTTCAAGGCGCATAACTATTTCGGACACGATCCCAACAACGTCGTTTTCTTTGAGCAATTTTCCTTACCCGTCTTCAGTTTGGACGGAAAAATTTTAATGGAGAAAAAGTATAAGCTATGTACTTCTCCTGGTAAGTTTTTTTGTTGTATTTCCTATGTCGAACGCTAGGCAACCACACCTATCACCCGCGTGGTGTTGACGATTAACATTGCTGCAATCCTACATGCAATGTGATTCACTTTTCCAAAGCACCCGTCCTCAAAGGTTAACAGCCACCTCTTGTCTTCATTGCTCATACGATGTTTCGGATGCCTATCACTCTATAGCATTGTATACTTTATTCATGTTGTTGTCCCCACAGTTAGTGGGAAGTGCCACAGAAGCAGTGACCAACATGTGTACCCTAAGCGATTCGCCGATCCGAGTGGTTTATCATTGCTCGCGGCCTGTCGTGTTCCAGTACAGAGCACCTGTAATGTTCACAAATTTCGTGGGGACACCTTTTCGTGCATGTGTTTCGAACAGAATGCATAGATCGACCGCATCGAACGCACTCTGGGAATCAAGGGACTCAGCTATTGTTGACCTGCGGGATGCGTGGCGCTGCTCTAACACCTGTCGTATAGTCAATATATGGTCCCTGTCCTGTACGGAAACCTGCCTGCTCTTCCCTAAAGCGGGATTCCCGTACAACTGGGAGGTTACAAAGGGGAATTGAGGCCAGTACTTTTGTTAATACAGGCGTTAGGCCAATACCTCTGTGGTTAGCACAGTCAGTGCGCTTGCTCTTCTTGTATATTGCCATCATGATCAATTCACTCCAATTAGCCGGAACGGTTTCTTTCTTCCTGTTCGAATTGGGAGGTCAGTGTTTTGCATAGCACCTCGCCTCCATCTTTAAATAGTACAGGTAAGAGAGAATCTGGGCCTGTTGCAGGAAAACGATTGAGAGCTGTGATCGCGTTTCGGATCTCAGCCTCCGATGGAACCTCCACATTAATTATCCATGGCTCGTACTGCATCACCTGAGTAGGAAGAGGTACGGAAGCAGAGGGCCAGCTGAACTGATCTTAAAAGTATCCCGCTTCTTATTGTATATCAGGACACTCGCGATGTCTCTCATTGTCTCACAGACGCCTGGTCTCCTGGGATCAATTGTGCGGACCAGCTAGAAGAGTTTACGATAGTTGCCTACTGCTCCCGCCTCCCCCACTTTTTGAGGAAGACTGGTCCATGAGGCTTCCTTGTCGGTGCGCCTAATAGTCCGTCTGTTCACATTGTGCTCAAAGCCAGCCGGGAGTATTCTTCTGGATTTTAACAGGTTCACTGACCTCTCGGATATCCAGTGACTGGTGCGGTGACGATTGATATTAGCACAATCAGATGCTCCTGCGTCGTGCATGGCGGTGAGATCCTATTCACTAAAGCTCAGTGTCATTAGGACAAGACAGCGGAAGTTCGGTATGCAGTGCGTCTTGACAGGCTTGCCTGATCGAGAGCTTAGACAATTTCTCCGTTGCCAGTCGGCGAAGACGCTGGGTGCGCCTCCTCGTCAAATTCACTTACGACAGCGTCGTCAGAGTCGATGCAGGTATTCCAATACGAGCAGCAATCCAGGATGGAACCACGGCACCTGTAACTTATGGCGTCGTGATCAATTTGGGTCCATCGCTTGCCAGCTACAGAAGGGTGCCAAGTGGCACTTCGGTGCCCACAGTGCCTGAAAGCAGTGCTACTGTGCATGTACAATGCATTTATCTGGAACACGAGTCGGCTCACATATGTAGGTCTAAAGGTTGGAAGTGCATGGTTACAAGAGGTAAGTGCCTTACAGCGCTTGCTCTAATTATTGTCACTTAGGCTCCCGTATCTATTTCTATCAGTACGTTCTGTCTTTGGTTGTAGAGCTTTGCAGTGTGGCGCTGGACGTAGAATGGACACGGTATTCAACCATACGTAGTGTAATTGGTTCGTTCTTTTCACAACAATCCTCCAATTTGATTGCTTTTGCTTGTGGTTTATGCACTTCCGAATGCAACTTGACTGACCTGCATACTCGCACCAAACGAACTACCTTCCCACAAATCCGACACACTATTTACTGATGTCGACATCCAGATATGCGTTTGTGTTGACCACTACACCGGTAGCATTCAAGGCTTTACGTTCGCGGATGTCTGTTGGCTGTGCCATCCTTTTCACCAACTGTACACATTCGAATGGAGCTTGCAGAGTGAATGCGGACGGTTGTTGTCTTAGCTTCTCTTTGATGCGTAATTGAACAAATTAATTGCAGTGCCATCCTGTGAAATGAGTTTTTCCCAGCTATTCCGGTCTGATATGCAAGTATCATCGTTTCTTCGAATTTCCTTATGGTAAACGTCATGGTACCTGCAGCCAGGAGTAGGCTGATATCTAAGAGCAATGAACTCGTTAACGTTTTCTTCCGGGTTCTACACGAGTTTGGGAAACAAATACATGGCCCTAAACACGCTTTGTGGAACACCCCAGAGAGCATTAAACATATCCAAGGCACTGACTGCGGTTACACATACGTCGTTAATAAGGAGGGCGTCAAAATATCACTAGCCTTTGTCAGCAAGGGGTTCTCGTAGTAGTTTGATCTTGTGTTCTTCGTGTCCTAGAATAGAAGTAGTTCCAGGTAGTCAGAAAGGATTTTTCGCCATATACTCCAACTGGCCGCAGATGCTTTTCTGTAGAAGATAACCAGAACTACATGGGTGTATTTACAATGTGCATGATGATTTACGTCGCCAAATGATACTTCTTAGTCTCAGTCAATAAATGTTCGATGGTGTATGCTCTAGCGGCCACGTAACCTTAGTGTAGCAAAAAACGTGTGAACAGAACACGGTGTAATCAACGACTGACAATTCATTCTCGACCGCCTTTCACTGGTTACACGAGGTGAGTCGTGTACGTGCATGTATGTGTGGTGTCCCTCAGCATGAGTGGATTGGGGCTTGACCTTTGATGAACATGCGACAGCATAAATCCTTGTCGCCGACTTCTTCAACTTTCGAAATTACTCCACGCGTTATACTGTGCGCCTATTGTTCCTTCGGAGTTGGCAAAGCCAGTCACTCAGTTCCATACAATTCCATCATCAGTACTTTCAAGTGGCTCCCTAAGATTCCCGTTAATTCGGTGATTTGTTTTACTGGAATGCCTATATGTTTCCATGAACCTGTATTGTTGCAGTTCAGCGTCTCGCTTGCAATCTCTGCACCCCAGCCCCGAATTCTCGCTCCTTTCTAGGTTTGGATGCTCTGTTAGGATTCAATCCTGCATATGACCGCTTGTTGTTGTATGACAGGAATTATTTGTCTTTTTTACTCATGCTTCTGATCGTAACACTTAATTCGTTTCTTTTGAATGCAGACACATCTACCAACAAGTGCCCACCTCTCCAACTACATATTCACCCGCTTCTCTTTGATCTACCTGCTGTTGTGCTTGAGATTAGTTGAGTTATCTTTCCCATTGCTTAACTCAGTGCACGATACACGCGGTGCAGGCCTGACCTATCTTTCGTTTATCCAGCATCCTATGCCTCATTAGTTAGAGCAGTAGCGTGCGCGTTTCTGAAGGCAGTTTCCATTTCCTGTCTAGCAGCATCACACGGCAATGGACCTGATGCGTAGTAATGTATCAGGTCTTTCTTCAGGCTTTTGTTTCGACCCATACAGATGCTACTCCATCGGACACCAGTCCGTGCATGTGATCACACCATAGATAATTATCGTTGCCTTTGTTGTCAGTATTGCCCTATATTCTAGTTCTTGGCGATTGTGTTATGTTGCACATAGGACTTTTTCACACTCCTCCACGCTCATGTCATCATCTTGATGTCACCTTCTTTGGCTGGCCTTTTCACCGAAGACACTCAGTGCTACAAGTGATCTCCATCAGAATTGTCTCTCCACTTCTTATTTCGTAGACGGAAATGGGGGACTATATCAAGCACTGAAGAGGCGCGGCATTTTGGAAGATATGTCTGCTCGAGGCGTGGAATATGTGCAAATCTACGGAGTCGATAATATACTCGTCAAATTGCCAGACCTTCACTTCGTTGGGTTTTGTATTGCAAAATCAGCGGAATGTGCCGCAGAGGTTGTCGAGAAAGTTGATGCAGATGAACCCATTGGCATTGTTGTTAGGGTTGACGGTCGTTACCGTGTACGTACTACCTTCACTTCATGTTCTGTCTGTTCTTGTCACCGGTTTTACGAGTATCTAGAAAATGATTGAACCAGTATTCCAACTTGTAGCTTCAAGTTTGTTCTTATTTCTCTCATTGAATTTACACAAGTTTTGTATTCGGTCCATTGTCTCCATCTTCTCTGCTCGCCAGGTTGTAGAATACACTGAACTGCCTCGAGAGATTGCTTCTCTTCGAGTCGATTCTGAAGCCAGCCCACATACAGCACCGACCCAGGGTACTTCACCGATGGTTGTCGAGCAAGCTAGGTCGCGTCTCGTATACAGTCATGGCAATATCTGCGTCCATTTCGTGACGCGAGAGTTTCTTCAACGGGTTTGTGAACCGGAATGCTTGACCTCCTTAAATCATCACGTGGCGAAAAAGAAAGTCCCTCATATCAATCTGTTCACTGGAGAATCAGTTGTCCCCACGGATCCCAATGGCGTCAAATTTGAGAAGTTTGTTTTTGATGTATTCCCTTTTGCCAAGTACGTTCATTTCTGTAAGATGTCTGTTGATTACTTTTCGTGTTCATTCGTCGCCGTTGGCAGTCATTCTAATTGCCTTAGGTGTCGATGCTTTTACAAGCAAGGTTAGTTGGTGTCTGCTCCGTTTATGCCCCATCTCTGCAAGTCTTCTGAGTCTGATCGATTTTCAGACCGTCATTGTGTCCACGTATGTACAAGACTCAAAGCCTTCAACCCGGTTTCCCACCAATTCATGGCTTCATGCTGTTACAATAGTCCATACACATCATGCACTTTACCCTTAAGCGGTATTTATCGACCACAAAGTTATGGACACAAAGACGGCATAGGATACAGCTTTTTTGGGGGGGGGGTTAATCTTTATCGTGCTGCATTTTGTACTCGTCTTTCCGCTGGATTTTGCAGACGTGTGACTGATTATTTCCTCCCTTAAATGCATAACGAGTCTCAAAACCTCTACTTTTGGTTTCTTCGTATTAACCCTCGGTCATGTTATAAAGTGACAGAGAATCAACCATTTCGATTGCATCAGTCCATTTGTGGGTATTGCTTTTGTATTGTTTACACCGGGCATTGCGGCATTGAAGAGTTCACTCTTTTTTCTCTGTGTCACTGGTTTTAAGCGCTTATGGGGCTTATTTATCCTCATTGCCGTGCCGTACACTCACTGCAGCGCTGTCAATTTCCACCGTCCTCCTAGTTTGTTTTTTATTTGCGCCGTCTGCTACGAGTCCACAGGGCATTCTGCTTTTGTGTATCTGATTGAGTGTGGTTGTTTGTCTCCATGATGGGAAGGCCTAATATATTAATGGTTGATGCAATTTTTCGGATAAACATGCCTCGTTGATTATGACTTAATGATTGCCTGCAATTACACCCTAGGAGTTTCGCTATTTGGGAAGTGCCAAGGAAAGAGCGTTTTTCTCCTCTAAAAAACGGACCGTCTGCATCAAGTGATTGTCCCTCAACCTCTCGTTCAGACTACCTATCATTCCATGCCAGTCTGGCTCTTGCAGCTGGTGCCGAATTTGTCAATTCCCCTGCCAATCAAAAAGAATCTCCTAGCCGCGATCACTCAAGAACTGTTATCGAAATCTCGCCGCTTGTTAGCTATGCCGGGGAGGTCTGTTAATATGTTTGAAAAATCGGTGGCTGATTTTCTTTTTTTGGCTTGTTGTCTCCACTGTTTGGTCTGCAAATTATTCTGCTTCCCACTTGTTGTATAGTCATCATGACAGTCTGGATTGCTTATTTGGTTCCTTTCTTGATTTTAACGTTCATTTGTTATGTTTTTCACATCACTTACGGCCAACCTCTCTCTTGTAAGAAATCGCCATATCTCCGTTAACTTTTGAGCAACGCGTTAGGTAGACATTATAGAACCATTCCCTGGGGTTTTGTTTTAACGGTTTGAACAGAGCCAATTACACACCCCCAACGGTCGATATCGATGTAGGTGGTTTTGCCAGTTCTGAATGCCTATAAAAGTACGCTGACATTTGGGTTTAATAAGCACCCACTGAATACGGTCGAGACTCACTGGTCGAATGTTCACCAGACCTTATTAACAGCAAGCAAATTCTCATGAGGTAAATCTACTAGCCCATCTGGACATTGGGTTTCCACATTGTCTCTAGAACGTTTACATGTTCGACGGCATATTACAATTGGTAGGGAACAAAATCAGACTCGTAATGTACTCAGGGTAAAACTCCGTGCTAACCTGAACAATGACAACAAATCCTGGTGGTCTCATTGTTTGTCAGCCATGGCAGTGGCTACTAGCCTTGGTAACCATCGGAATTTATTCAGTCTGTTAAGGGAAAAGTGCGGCAGCAGACCTGATGTTAGCGAAACTATATGTGACGAGAGTGGACAGCCTATCCACAACTTGCCAAAACGCTTGGAGCGTTCGGCTGCGCACTTTGAAGTGCAATTTACTCGGTTGAAACTCTCAGATTTCTCGCTGACCAATGCTTCCTGTGGTACCTGGGGTGTTCTGCCCTCTCGCTCTGAAGTCGAGGTCCGAATGCTGAAGATGATTCGTGGCAACTGGATCTACCGCACTTCGGTGCTTGGATCATAGTTATTCAACAAAACTGTATCATCACATATATTGGAAGCCCACCGTTGTCGTGTTCCTCCACATCAAAGGTTCCTTCGTTTCGGTGAATCGATGTGTTCTTTGGTACGGTCTGCTAAAGAAATGCCTCACTGAGAAATATGTACTTATTATCCGAGTACCTTACGCGCGTAGCTCGGGTTTAAAACAAGCTGTCGCCGCCCTTCAATATCTCCAGCGGTTTGAGACAGGGATGCCCGTTGTCAACTTTTCTATTCAACTTCGCTACTGACCAAGTCCTGAAAATCGCGTTCATTGGACACGACTTGGAATGTGTAGAGCTACTCTAAGGTGAACGACTTCTTGACTTGGAGTATACTGACAATGTTGTCCTCCTCTGTGACAGCTTACAAACGTGCACTAGACAGATTGACACCGGGTGTCAGCAGTTTCGGACTTTGCTTTGCACCCTCAACGAGCAAAGATTCTCTCCAAGATTGGCAGTGCTCGCCTGCGCCGACGGTTTGTGGGATCAGCTAGAAGTCGTCCAGGAATTCCACTATCTAGGCACTTGTATCAGCGTTTGCTGAATCAAAGAGGATTTCACAAAACATGTAGCAAAAGATCGAGACACTTTTGCTAACCTTCACCAATTATGGCGTCAGCGCGACATCACTTCTTTACTGAATGGTGGGGTGTACAGTGCGGCTGTACCTTGGCTCCTACTGTACAGTTGTGGAACTTTGTCTGCATACGTGGGAACATGGCGTGTTCTGTGCCTTCTTATGGCACTAAAAGAGAAAGTGAACCGCTGAGCGCCGTTATTTTACCTGTTCGTAGCTTGGACACGAGTTGAGCTTGCGAGATCATCGACTCCCGCGATGTGCGTTGTTTTCGCGCCGGGTGTGGATGGAAGAAGAGGATGGGTGGCTAAGCGATGGCTTGGTCAAGAGGAATGAAGGCGTTTAATTTGAAGTTGGCCATTGTCAGTGTTTCTCGACTCCTTGTTTAAGGACTGTAAGACGATCGGCGCATTTGTTTGGATACACTTGTTGATATGGCTAAGCGCCGACCTCAATGACGTTTGTGTTGTGGGTTTTTTTGTCCCTCCCGCTTATCCTCCCCTCCAACCACGATCTCATTTTTATTCATGATATAACTCTCTTTTGCGGCACAAAAGCTGGCTGTTAGCTCTCCAGAATGATGTCCACCTGTTACTGGTGACTCGTGTGTCGTACCTTTGTTGCGTTCTTCCTTCTCATGCATTACAACACAATTGCGGAGTCGTTTCCAACGTCTAGCTAACGGGTACACTGAGTGAATCAACCATTCTTGTAAGCTAGCTGTGTACACTTCATGCTCATGTAATTCATAACTAGTGTGCATCTGCATAATCCGCAAATGCACTTTTTAGTGCTCACCGCAGTAGTTTACAAGCCAGATCGACTTGTCACCTGTCCGTTTCTTTTTACCGTAGTGCGCATTTCTTTATACCATCAGAAACCGAACCGAAACCATTTACCGCTTAATTGCTACGCTGCACTTAACTACTCTTTCATCCTCCTCTACATCATCACACGCCACCTTTTCTCTCCTAACTATCACTCTTCCTCGTTACCTATCGATTCCTGTCTCCATGATTCTGCTCCCGTTCGCTTCGGCTTCGATCCTCGTTCCGTTTGGCATGTCTAATGTTCGCACACTCATACAGATCGGACAACGGGATTGTCTTGTGCGTCTCTTTGAGTCCCTCAGTATCGATCTTGTAATGTTTTTTTTCGCGAAACGTGATTGCAACATCCAAGCACTCTGATTAAGTTGATACCTCCCACCGATCAAGTATCCCCAATACATCTGCATCTTTACACGGCAGAGGCCGCAGCAGTGTTGGCTTTGGTGTACTAGAGCCTAAATAGTGATTGCTTCACAAGCCTTGCCTCGTTCTAAAATGACAGCTCGCACGAAAGTCTAGAGTAGGAACAAGTTACGGTCATTTTTATTAAAATGGCAACGGCTAGTTCAAACAGGTGACGTATTGATATTTACTTGATCGAGATCTCTCTTGAAAAGTGTGATCCAGAGAACTCGCGTGTGTGCCATATTGTGTGAAGTACTTTCTATTTTAGGGGGTGATATGTCCATAAGTAGATGTGTACATGTGCCCCATGCTAAGGCTGATGTTGCATTCATGATGCTTCTTCACCGCACTTGGGCTAAACCAACTTACACTTAAACTAGGTCATTTTAAGCTGGATAAATTTCATTCCACTTCATTTAGTTTGCTCTGTCTACCAAAATAGTCTTCTGTTAACTGGCGACATTGCTTACGACAGCTTTGTTGCGTTTGTAGCATCTTTAAGTAACTTGTGGACATTTTTTCCTTATCGCTGATTCCTTGCTAACCAACTTACTTCATCTGCTAATTTAGCGAAAAGTTATGTCACTGTATCTCTATGCATTATTGGATTTATTTTATTTCGTGTTGTCGTTTCAAATGATTGGCTGTTGCTTGATATCCCCTGTGTGACTGCGCTTGATGTGCATATTGACAAGGTGCCTACCTGTCTATTACCCACTACCTCGTCCATACTGGCTCTAGTAGACAGTTTGTCGTTCCTGGAAGGAACGGGCTGCCCGGTCCTTGTGGTCGTGTTAGGCTCGAAGAGTGATTCCAGGCACTGAGTGTGGAGTGGACCACGGTCCAACCATCGCCTTGTGTGCGGTTGATTGCCAAATACAGCGTGCTTGTGTTTGCCTGTGAAGGAGTGTGGGCCGGCTCCGTTGATGAAACGTGGCTCCCATCCACATGCCTCCCGGTCTTATTTCTTCGGGTTTACACTCGGTATGGGTTGTGTGGGTGGTGCAGCGCAAGCCACCCATGGTCCCTCTGTAGGAGCAGGCGTCCTGTGGCTGGCCACAGTGACAGGCAAATCCAAAACCGGATGCCGCAAATCATCGTCGTGTGGCGGGCGAGTTCATGGTGCCCTGTGGCTTGTGGTGTTAAGATCGTTGACCCGCAGTTACCATTGTTTTGCCCAGGACTCATATCCTGGAGGTCTCCTCTTTGCGACCGCTGAGTGAGAGCTTGGTTACATTGTTCTCCCAGCTAAGAGCCAAGACGCAATTCCGCTTGAGTTGGTTCACTGACTCATGGCCCACTACCTTTCGGGAGTACACTTTATCGCGGACTTTCGCTTGTGACCAGATTCGTTCTCCTGTTCAAGTGTGGACGAACTTGCAATACACTATTCCGAACCCGAACCATTAATCACATCAATACTCATGATAGTATACTGCATCAGTTGTTGTGGAGTTCTCCGAGCTGGGCAACTTGGTTGCAGACGTTTCGCCACCGTTCGACGTGGCATCTTCAGTGCGAGATTGATAGCAGTGAAGTAGCAGCTACTGCTACTTCACTGCTATCAATCTCGCACTGAAGATGCCACGTCGAACGGTGGTGAAACGTCTGCAACCAAGTTGCCCAGCTCGGAGAACTCCACAACAACTGAGCAAGCCTCCCGAGCTACCAATATTCCAATTCATTTCGAGTACACTGCATCGTTCGTCCTAAATGGGCATTATGTAAAAGGTAGCCTTGTCTGCTATAGTATACAGCGATGTGGATAAGTGATAACATGCTACCACTGACTCCTTCCTTCTTTCAACTTTCCTTGCACATTCTCTCCTCACCTACATTTCACCTAACCCCGTACTTATTCCAGTACAGCCCACTGCCCGTGTGGTTGCCCGCCACAACAATCGTACGCCTCCGCGCGAGGCACCCAACATCGGATGCTGGATCGTGCGCACACCATTCAACCGTAACACGAGTAGGCACCTGAGCGATGCAGTGCATTAGTCGCTATGTAACTCGCGCGTTAGGGCATCAACTTTGCTCATTCAGTGAAACTCGGCTCATCGACCAAGGCAAACTGCTTCAGGCTGGTTCGGGCTAAACCTTCTACTAGGTGGGAAATGCCACCTCAGCACCACCTAAACATGGGGTCAGATTTACACTATCCCAACGCCTAAATGGTTGGCTGGTGGCATTGCGGACTGGCACCAGACAACGACTGATATCACTTTTATTAGCACGTATCGTCACGCCATGTGTCTTCCTGATGACACAATAGATCAGTTTTACACTCAGTTGTCCTCCGTCATATGCGGTCTGTATCGAGGATCGACCGGCTATTCTCACTGGGTGATTTCAATGCGCGCATTCGGCGCGGTGTGCAAAGACGTAATCCGTTTGTATGGTATTGGCTCAGCCAACGCGAACGGTGACTGGCTGTTCTCACTTTGTGTCACTTACGGCCTGACGAGTACGAACACATGGCTTGAACTGGGTGCTAATGATATAGCTACTTGGACGCACCCACGAATTAGTCACGCTCACCTTCTCGACTATGTCACCGTATACCAGCGTGCTTGCACGAAGTGTGCATGACACGTGGATTGCGTGTATCTGAGTGTGGCCATTGCCCATTCATTGCTATCGACTAACATCTTGAAGACTTTGTGGTGTTTGCCAGGTTATCTCATTTGTGTGTGGTTTTCTGCCTCGACTTTTACAATCAACCTTAATTGTAGATTTTCCACCTTCCGCATCCAATGGGCCACGTGCAGCTGTGCATCCTCTACTCCGTTTGCTTTACGCTGTTTTATTATGATGGGGAATGTCACAGATTTGATATAGTGGATTTGACGCTTTTCCTTTCCAAGCTGCTTGATAGATCTATTTTCACATCTCGTATTAGCTTACCACAATTTGCCATGGAACCGCTGCCATTCTAATTTTGCCTGCTTGGCGTATTGCATTCGGTGTTATTATATGCAGTAACTCTTACTATAGTGTCACATCTTATTATCGATTCCCGTGGGACCCTTTACTTACGAACCATCTGTTCGTACTCGTTTTTTAAACCACCGCTGCCCTGCTCCGTTATCATTTTCCTCCATCACATTCCACGGTTATGCGTGTCTTTTAATATTTCACATCGTTCACCCTCGTGTTATGTTCACCCTAGAATTTGGAATCACTGAAAGGAGTGCAATTGCAAGGAATCAATTTATTGGAAATAGACAAAGATACTGGTCAACCAGTACTCATCCGGATGACCAATAATAGTAGCTAATGTAGCTGCATCTGATTCCGACAAGGTGCGTGACGTCCTCCACTTTTTTCTCAACAGACTGATTGATCTACTTGGCAAATACTTGAATTGTCATCTTCATTTTTTGATTACACTTTTACCTATTGGCTCTGCACACAAATCACAAACTTATTTCTGCTTTCAATAAATATCTACCACCATTTCTTTTCCATCTTATCATACCTTGTAGTACGATTTGATCGCGGTTGTCTCTTTTACTTCTTACGGTGGGAACGACAACTATCATCAACCACGTATTGTGAATCTACACAGATTATTTAGACTATTAGCCGGCGCAGATTTATAGTTAGATGAATATCTTGTGTTGCCCTCACAAAAACACTGCGCTCCACGACTCCTTTCGACCTTATTTGATAATGTCTGTGATAGCAAGCCTCGAACACAGTACCATTAAAATATTGCTTTGGACCTATACCCCTTTAGCCCCCTGGCCAGTACGGGCGACTCTTGACACAACGGTTAACGACTGATTTAATGGTCATTTTGAAATTTTAGATGTCTGAATGGATTACGACGCGCAATCTCCGTGTAGACCACAATTCCCATTTAAGTGGGTCATGGTCGATGCGATCAAGGGGACGATAACTAACGAGGAAAAATAATATTGAGTGTCGCCTGCTCGAGGGCCTTTACGTGATAAGATCACATAAAGTGGAAACGCATCCTGGCATAATGTTTTTAGAAGATGCTAAACGGGCATGCTCAGTACGTGTCCAAGCCACTTCTTCTGACATAGTAAGACGAACTCCTCGACCTAATGGCTGCTTCCACCCTAAACCTCCACATTAGTTACATGGTGCAGCCATTGCACACGGGCAATGGACTGCAAGCAACGGTGCTCGAGGTCAGACGGTGCAACTCAGCGGTATGGACATGTCATGTCTTGCGACAGTACAGCGCGGACAGTCGCACAATAAACCCATCCTTTGATGGATAGACAGATGTCATGGCGGCGCCACAGGTGCCTCAACCTAGAGAAAGCGAGACGAGCTCTTGGTATACGCATCAAAATTTCGTCTCCAACAATCTCGCCAGCATTGATGAAGTTTCCCAGACAGACAAAACTCTCCATAACCTCCAATTCCTCTCTACCAAGAGTAAGAGTAAGTACAGTTATCTGAAAGTCTTGAAAATATGCCTTGCACTTGGCTGGGGGGAAAAACCATCCTATACGTTGACGCTTCAGTCGCCAAGTGATTAAATGCAAGTTGGACGGTCTGTGGACCGTGATCCGGCAAGACGATATGATCAGCGTGGAGCCCAACGTTCGCGCTCACCAATCTTCTAGAGCATTTGTGAGGTCGTACGCAATGGCGAAATTCAAGAGAAATAGAGAGGCTGGGTATCCCTGTCGAACCCTGGTGGTGACCACAAAGGAGGGCGAAGTTTACCATAAGCCTTAACTATACTCGAGACCAGGCTGTACATAGTACACAGTATGGAAGCGAACTTCCCGAGGACAGCATTCCTCAACAGTCACTGCCGCAATGCAGCCCTGTCGACGGAATCGAAGGCAGCACAGCTATCCAGGTACATGACAATCGTTAGCTTTTGCTACACATGGTGGAGTGTGAAGATCTGAACGATGCAGCCGCGACCAGGGCGGAACCCGTTCTGTTCTTCCCACTGTAGCGATTCGAGCATTGGGAACAGCGTGCGAAATACGGTGAACACCGGAAGCTTGCAGACGACGGGAACCAAACTTATACTCCTGTAGTTGCAACACATTGTGCGCAGACCCTTCTTGAAAATGGTGACGACTGTCGACTCACCTCTAGACGATGTAACCTCCTCTCTTGCCAGACCTCTGATAACCAAGTGGTAAGTTCTCGAACCAGCGAAAACCACTATCTTTAAAGAAAGCAGGAGGTAAACCATCGGGCCGAGTGCTTTATGACGCTTCAGTAGGCGGAGTTTTCGCCGGATTTCTTGGTAGGAAGAAGGATCTGTGCGGATCGACTCAGCACCAGTGAGCGCTCCAGTGGAACCAGATAGAGCTGGCGGCTAGGAAAAATGTGTGCCAAAATACAGCTCATCGTTCCAACCGTCGTTGAAGACCAGTGACTCGTGACCCATCCTCTTCACAGACTGTTTCGCTTATACCAACTCCGAGATCTTTGACGACTCGAATTAGATGGAAAAGTTTTCTGGTGTTATCACAGAGATTAACGAATTCCATCTCTAGCACATTCACAACACCAGTCTTCACAGTCCTTTTGCAAACTCCGCAGTTCATTATCTAGGGATCGGCGTTCTTCGCTACGACTGACGTCAGCCGGTATCCAGCGGCGTCTGTCCATCAGCGACGAGGCGACAGCTGTGATTCAGCTTTTTGGCAGGTGGCGAACAATTCTACAACTGTCATTGCTGGGGCATTTTTGATGAGCAACCATTGTGAATTAAGATCATCTCAGAAGCTGGGGTAAGCATTGCACACAGAGAGGCCCGGTACTTAAATAAATAAATAAATTTGTATATTTACCGACGGACGGTACACGGCCCCATAAGTGGGAGCGATCATGTGTATAGTGAACACGTTTCATAATATTAAATAAAAGGTTACTGATAGCATTTCGGATCATGATTACTTTTCCTTGAGTCCTAGACCCGCACAACTCATATGTAAAATTTACGGATGTTTGTATCGTCAGGAGTAGATAATAAACGAAGGGACTATTAGGCTGCAAAGACACAGGATTTGGTATGGTATGTAATGACATGTAGTGGGTAAGCTAGCTGTAAGCTATTATCAAATGTTTTTTATACCAACTTCTGTCAATGTTTCTAGTGTTTGCTGTGAGTCAAATATCTTCAGAGCATTTGGTATAGTGAGGAAGGTCTGAAGGAGATTTCGAAAGGTGACATGGCTTGTACACATGCGTATCTGTAGGGGTAGTTTGTTCCACAAATAAGTGTATCTCACTAAGAAGAAATTCGATCGAATTTTATGACTTGAAAGGTTTGTACGTATCAAGTAGCCGCCATTACGTGTGGGATCGACTGCAATCTTCCGTAGTTCAAGTGCGGTGCTGTCTGCGTAAATTCGTTGGTTTATAATGTTGTAGAAGAGAACGAGGTTGTTCTTTAAGCGTCTCAGCCAAAGTGGATCCAGCTGGAGTTCTCGACAGCGATCATAATAAGTCAGGTTTGAGCAGCGTCCCATGAGCAGTTTGGTAAATGATCGTTGGACATTTTCTAGAGCCGTTCTGTCTTTCTTTCTCAATTGGCTGTGAAGGATAGTACAATATTCCAGCCTCGGTCGTACGATTGTCTTGAATGATTCAAGTCGTACTTCAGGTAGGGAGAAAGTTCTGGTGATATATCCGCATAGCTGCCTTGCTTTCGCAACCTGATAAAGAACATGTTCGGAGAAATTGAAAGAGTTGGAGTACCTAATTCCTAAGTCCCGAACTGACTCAGACGTTGGAATCACGTTTCCGGCAAGTATAATGGAGCCTTCTGGAATGCGGCATCTGTACCCAAGTACTTGGGATTTCACTGCGGAGAACTTCATTAATAAGCGCTCACTAGCTATATTTAGTGCGGATAGGTCTTCACAGATGTTTCCCAAACACATATGTAGTTGGTCCGGATGAAATGAGTAAACCAGTTTGACATCATCTGCAAACAGAAATGGATGTCCATGTTTGATCGGGTCACATATATTGTTTACATAGATTAAGAAAAGTAGCGGTCCGAGGACACTTCCCTGGAAGACACCGCTGGTTATTGGCTTCGGTGTAGAATGTTGCTGATCGATTTTAACGACCTGAGTTCGACCGCTTAGGTATGAGTCGAACCAGTTAAGCAGCGGATTTCCAATTCCATATGACTCTAGAGCAGACAGCAGTGGCTGGTGTGGCACGCGGTCGAACGCCTTTTGCATGTCCAACAGAATTATAATAATTGCCATTCCTCTGTCAATCATAGTCGTGATGTGATCGAGAAATTGTAGCTGGCATGTAACGCAGGAGCGTTTTGAGAGAAAGCCGTGCTGTGAAGGGTTGATCAGATCCAGTCTTGTAAGATATTGGACGATGTTCTTCTTGACTATTCGCTCTAGGGCTTTGGAAGCAGCAGAGGTGTGATTTATTGGGCGGTAGCTTGACATTTGATTTCTCGGTCCACCCTTGTGCTTAGGCATTATAATGGATTGCTTCCATTGAGCTGGAAAGCAACCGGTAGTGAGTGAAAGTGTGAAAATGTTTAGTAACAATAGTGCGAGGTTTTTTCCTCCGAGTTTTATAACAGTTGGGGAGATGCCATCTGGACCTGGATGAGTTGATGGTTTTATGGCTGCGATGGCACTTTTCACTTCTCTTAACGTCACAGGGATATTGCAGTATAGTTCGGTCGTTCTTTTTGGAAGTGGAGGATGAAGTGGCTGAATGTTGGGGACAAAAGAGGAGGCAAAACTAGAGTTCATGGCCTTGCATATACAGGAGATGTCGCGCGTTATTGAACCATCGTCTAGAACCAACGTTTCAATTTCCTGAAGTGGTTTAGGGTTTCTTCTTTTGAGTAGTTGCATCAATGCACGTACTTTCTCAGGATTTCTGAGTACCCGGCTTGGCTAACCTCGTATGGTTTTGTAGATTCTCGACTTCGGTTGGTAGTGCGTACGCCTGGGCGATCTTCCGAAACTCGTGCTTAACTTCGCACGAATCATTGCGTGATCGGAATCCAGACAAATTGGCCAGTAGGATCGGCACTTTGTTACGGTTTCTTGCTATCTCTAGCTTATTGCTATGTGGTCATATTGGGACCACTTTTGAGTTTGGGAAGACTGGCCTCAGGTATTAGTCTGTCTCACCAAGTACCGAAAACTGGTGCCCAAAAGCAACAAGCGCTTTTCACAACAAACTGTCGGTAGACTGCATTGGTTGTATGATTTCTACCCAGGCCAAAACTACCCCCAAACTGGCGCTGGTTTGGTAGGAGACGGTTCACTCGTGCAGATCGCATTCAAATATGTTTATAAGCAGTTTCCTACTTTGTCAAAAACCGGCCTATATACCATTCGAGATCCAACGCAAGCTTCCTCAGACAATTCATTACCTCGCCGGAAACACGACATCAATTGAGGCTAATGACCCGGTAACCTTGCATTCTGCTAGCTCTAAAGGTCCAGACGGATGGTCAGT